GGGGGGTGGGGGGAAGAAGAAGAAGAAGAAGAAAAGAGTGATTACCAAGAAACGAGGAAAGAGAAGCGCGTGGGTGAGTGAGAGGGTGAGAAATGAGTGTTTTGGGGGTTTTCTCTGTTGCATTTCATGAGTTCTCTGAGGCGGCATGTAAAGATAGCAGCAGGAAGACGGTCAAAATCTGTTGACTATTGACTATTGAGTATTGAGGGGTTGTTTTCTTTTCTTTTTTCTTTCTTTTTTTTCCGTTTTGTTCATCACTTCCCCTTAAACTTTTAAGACGGGCAAAAATCTATTTCATCTCTGGTTTGAAATCTCTAGATATTCGAATACTGAATATTCGAAAATTCAGAACAGGGCAGGAGAATATCCTCTTGAAAGTTGAAATTCCCCATGTTTTGGTTTTGGTTTTTGGGATCACTCTAAGATGTTTTGACTGGTCAAACTGTCAAAAAAAGTGTGGCATTTTGCGGTTGAGATTGGTTGTTTGAGTCAGAAAAATTAAAATATAAAAAATTATGAGAAGAAGTCTTTCAGTTTTGTTGTTTGACAAAATTGAATATTTTTATTATTTATTCTTGTATGTAGTTTTTTGAATAAATAAAAAAAATTATTTATTTCATAAATAAATATATAAATACTCCTTCCCCAAGTGAAATTCACGAAGAGATTTATAAGAATTAATATTTGTTTGATTTTTTTAACTTTAGAATTGGTGTATAAGTAAAAAAATATTTATTTAATAACTACATCAAAAGTCTTTAAAACAAAAAAATAACATGATTACGATATTTTACTAAATGATCAATAAAACACGCAAATAAATAAAATTATTGTCACTTTACAATAGTACCTTAAAACTTTATTTGAGGAAAAAGGTAACACATATAAATAAATTATATGTATATAAATCATACTCCCTCCGTCCCCATGTATTTGTCCACTTTCATTTTTACACATCATCCAATACACTTCTTTAATCTATTTTATCTTGTAATTTGTATATTAAAAAATTATAAAAATTATATATTAATAATCTATATGTTAAGACAAATCAAACAAGATCACACATGACTATATTTACGCTTACACATTGAGAGAATTTGATGAGTCAAAGTGTTTAGATAGTTCCAAAAGTCAAATGTGAACAAATACAAGGGGACGGAGGGAATATTATAGTATGAAACATATTATATCATATAATTATATATGAGAAAATATTTTTAAATATAACTTAATTTATAAACACTATTTAAAAAAAACTGAATTTGGCCAATCAAAACAACTAAGGCCTCGTTCCTTTCAACTTATTTTTTCTACTTTTTTCTTATTTTTATTAAAATCAGATCAAACCAGATCAGCTCGAATCAAATCAGATCAGATTAGATTCGATCTAATCAGATCAGATCCAATCAGATCAGACCCAATCAAAAAACTTTATTATCATTATTATTATTATTAGGAATTATTATTATTATTGTTATCATCATTATCATTATCGTTATCGTTATTACTCCATATTTTTTAAATTCCATACTTTTTACTTGTTTCACTTGATACGATTCTTTCAAAAAATAAATTTAATTTTTCTTGAAAAAATATAAGAAGAAAGAAAATGAAACTTTTGTGCGATTGTAATTTATTTAGAGAAAAATAAAATGATATGAAGCACACTTTTTTCTTAAAAATGAAAAAGAATAAACTTTAGAAACAAGTTAAATAGAAAACTGGGAAAGTAATAATCCTTAATTATTAGACGTCGGGAAAAATATTTTTAAAATACATTGACAATGTCAATCTAATTCTACTTTTAAAATACATTTTTATTGTTACATGTAATTTGAGTTTCTAAAGTTAATACATTATAAAATATGAATGAAAAATATTATTACATTATATTATTACATTATAATATGAATGATTATTCTAATATATGAATTAACTATTTTATTTCATTAAAACATAATCATAAAATAAAAAATATTGATTATATTATAATATGAATTATCATTACAATTTTCAAAAGTTATTATAAAGTCAGATCAAATTATTGATTTGAATTTTAAATCAAATCATAATTAATCAGATCAGATCAGATCGGATCAAATCAGATTCAATAAGATCAGATCAGATCCAATCAGATCATACCAAATCAGATCAGATCATATTAGGTCAAAAATCAACCAACACAAATAGCTAACAACCAACTGTCATCTTCTAACAAGACATATGTATTTGGAATTTTTATTTGTTGATATAGTGGAGCTCAAATGTTAGACTTGAATGTAAAGTCATATGTGTTTTAAATGTTATAGTTGCTTATATGTGTTTTAAATGTTATAGTTTCTTATATGTGTTTTAAATGTTATAATTGCTTTATTAGTGTTATCAAAAGTTATTCTTCATCCATCCCATTTTTAATAGCATTCCATGCATTTCAAGCTTTTTCGATTTTACTTCTTCCCGAATTTTCTCCTAAGTTTCTAATTTTTTATATTCTAAAGTGATGACTCTCCAAATCATAAACATGCTAGCCTTTTGTCCCACACGAATTCATACTACGAGGGGCAAATTTATTAGAGAGTTTTTGAGGAACAAAACAAAGACACCCAAAGACACGCATATGGCTTAAGTCACACGGTTTGGAGGATAGGATTCCAAGGGGGAACTTACCTCCAAGAAGTTTAGTAGGAGTACGATTTATGGGATAGACAACGGTTTTGATACACTCTCCACAAAATTAAAGAGGGAATGAGACTAGAAACATAAGAGGTCGTGCCACATTGAGAATGTGATGATGTTTTCATTCTGCCCAACCGTTTTATTGTGGAGTCCCTACACAAGAAGTTTGAACAAAAACATCCTTTGTATCATAGTATTGGAGAAGGGAATGATCGAGAAATTCAGTACTATTATCAGAACGATCAATTTTTATAGTCTTAGAGTACTGTGTGTTAATCATGAAAAAAATTGTTTGAGACAATAGATGACCTCACTTTTGGTTTTTATGAGATACACCCAAACAACACGAGAATGATCATTAACTATGATTAAAATATAGTGAGCACAAGACGAGATACATGAATAGTAGGGACCCCATAAATCATAATAAGTAAAAAAAATTGCATGTGCTTTATTAATACTGTTGGAAAAAGAGGAACGAGTTTGCTAGGGTATAAAACAAATTTCACATGTTTTCAACTTCTTGACACTAGAAGTACTATTATTTAAACAAATAAACGAAGATAAATGAGAAGATGGATGACCCAGCCGTTGATGCAGAAGAACTGGATTGACTGTAGAAACATGGACTTAACATGACGAACTCCAAAAAACATACACTCCATTGCGTAATTCACCTCGTCCAATCTCCATTTTCGAAAAAAGGCCCTGTATTACACAACAAAGTTCATTAAAAATTACATGACAAGTATTATCACGAATAAAACAACCCACAGAGATCAAGTGACAAGTAAATCAGGCACAAATTGTACTCTATTTATCACAATGTTGGGCGCTAGGCGCATGCTGCCTTATTGATGTGCTTGCATGCGTGATCCATTAGGCAGACTAATCCCGCAAGGGGGTATGGTAACAACCTCAAACATATGGGATAAGATCCCTGTCATATGGTTAGATGATCCGCTGTCAATTAACCATTTACAAGAAGTATGAGGCATATTGTTATAGTGATCTGTCATAGAGAACTTGGGAAGAGACATTAGACGTGTCATTTGATCACTTAAAGTAACGGAGGAGTCGCTGGAGACGGTGTTGGACGCACCCTCGCCACTGCCGATGGGTGCAGTGGTGATGCCGACCAGTGCAACATTACGGACATGGCTTCTCTCGCCGTCACGAGTGCCAGCGCCGTATCCTCCCTGCCGTCCCCCTCCACCACGACCACCACCGCGACCATAGCCTTAAGGTATGGTAAGAAATGATCTCAAAACATGTTTCAAGATTATGGTTCGTACGTCCACAATAAGAGCAAAGCATTTGACCTGTAAGAAGACGGTGGACTGCAAAAGTGACATCCTCTATTCGATCATCACGAGCATGAATTATTGTACGGTGACGTTCCTCTTGAGTAATCAGGTAAAAGGCTCTATCGACATCAAAAATCGGCTCATTACCAATAATTTGACCAAAAACAGTCTCGAACTGCTCATCATCAAGCCCCATCGGAAAATCCATGGTTTAGACACGTTCCTCAATCAAGACAGAGAGAGAGAGTGATTGAGAGAGAGGTAGATAAAAGACGACGGGAGTTGGACATGTTCATAGTATTTTAATTTGGAAAGAAAAAGAATGATATGAGACGGTGGATGTTAGACAAGCTCGTCGGGATCAGTGGTGGTTGTTAAGCACGCATGTTGTTTTATGAGAGAGAGAAATTGTAATACTCTTATTTAAAAATAAATGGATTGGGGAAAGAAATGTTTAAAAGGATTGGTAGTACTATTCATACCTACAAGATTCATATATTCTTTTCGAGAGCTCATCACCTAAAAACTCCAAAGTTAAGTGTGTTTGATCCCTAGAACAATTTTAGGATAGGTGACCCCCTGGGAAATTCCTAGGGCGCGCACGAGTGAGGACAAAGTGCACGAAAAAAACTTGTGTTAGTTTGCAGGGCCAGTCTACAATTCTATGAGTAGACACTTACGGCTAGGGTGGGGGTTGGGGTGTTACAAATGGTATCAGAGCAACCCTGCGACCGTGACGGACCAACGAGATTAGTTCACATAGAAAGGAAGATGTAGGGGTTTGAAAAAAGGATGCAACGAGGACACTGCATTCCTAAGTGGGGGTGAATGTAATACCCCGATTCAAAAATGAATGGATTAGGGAAAGAAAAGGTTCAAAAGGATTGATAGTACTACTTATACAAACAAGATGCATCTTCTTTTCGAGAGCTCATCACCTAGAAACTCTAAAATTAAATGTGCTTGGGCACACAAGTGAGGACAAAGTATGCGGAAAAGACTTGTGTTGGTTTGTAGGACCAGTCTACAATTATATGAGCAGACACTTACGACTAGGGTGGGGACCGGGGTGTTACTGAAATCTTTGCTCCAAAACCATGATACAATTTGATAATAATTGATTTTATTGAATAATAAAGATGACTTTAGTGTATATAGAGAATAAATGGAGAATCATAATTAGAGTAGAATTAGAGCTATGGTAACAATATTATAAGAAAAGTAAATAATAATATTCTCTCCGTCTCAAAATTCTTATTCTTCATTTCAGTCCGTCTATAAATATTTTTCCCATTCCCTTTCTTAGCTTATTTTTAAGGATAAATGTCACTAAGACCCTTCAACTTTAACACTCACCCATCCAAATTAATTCACCCCCAAATTAAAGTAGGGACAATCTTGGAAATTTAACACTTTTTTCTATTTCTAAATAAGCATGTCAAGTCAACACGAGAAGAACATTTCTGGAAAGAAGGAAAAATACTGTATTTCCTGTTATTCATATTTCATATTACTCATAATAGAAAAATTTATTTTCCGCCCAAATTGGTATTGGTAGACTCTGGGGTTTACAGTTTAATTGTTTGGGAGAATTTTCTAAATAAGATTAAAGCATAATATTTCATATATTAAAATAGTAATTCTATATTTTATTATAAAATAGGGATTATAATGTCAATATATAATACTAAAGGATATTATTGTGGTGTAAGAATTCTAATTTAGAAATAAAAACATAGAAGTTTTACTTTTTTTGAGAGACATAAAAGTCTTGCGTGTTATACGGATTATAACTTTACAACAATATAATGCTAGAAGTATACCAAATGATGTACCTCATTTGTATATTAAGACTTTTACAGATACACATATATTCAATATTTGTGCACAAACAAACATTAAGTGCATGTGTATATTTGTAAAAATCTTGATGTAAAAATGATGTACACCATTTGATATGTCTCTAACATTGTCCATAACTTAAATGTTTTCATTTTATTTAAAAAGATCTTTTTTTGTAAGAAGACCAACCAAAAACTTGGAACAAACATATGTAATTACGGGCGGATTAAGTTTTTGCCAAATGTCCGATGAAAATGCCTTTGGTCACACAAAGAATACCTTCATTGCCACATTTGTTTTCTCTTCCCCATTTTCTTTCCCCTTTTACCCATTTCCCTTCCCATCCCTTTTACTCCGTATAAAATCTCACTGCACATTCTACCTTAACAATTCCACCATTCACAAAATAGTCCATCCAAAAGGCCAAAAACAAGAAAAGGGTATGTATGTAATTTACATATTTCATGGTATTAATCATAGTATATTCATGCATTGATGGATCAATATAATACTCCATTTCTCTCTCAAACTCTGATCTTTATCATATTTTTCTTTTTTGAGTTCAAAAAAAGTTAATTACTTTATTTCATTTAAAAAGATTTTAAACATGCATGCAATAGTGTTTTCAAATTTCAATTTTTTAAAATTCCGTGGAAGTCAAACTGGGTGATGTTTTTTTAGAATGGATGGAGTATAACTATGTTCATCCTCAAAAATAAATTCTTAATTTCATTTCACGAAAAGTAAAATCATGTGAATAAAATTTGGAGAATTCACCTAAATACTACTAAATCATACCGGAGTAATAATTTTTTCAATGTAGTACCATATATTTTATTCTTCAATGCAGTACCGATGGTCATTGTTCAAGCAATGTCCACCGACACTGGTCATTATTCAAAATAAATATCCACCATCACTGGATATTGTTCCTGCAACTAGTCATTATTCGAGTACTATTTAGAAAATAAAAAAAGTTTAAGTACTACATTAGAAAATGATATACTCCCTCCGGCTCATTTTGATTACAATTTTATTTTCTCTCTCTTCTCGATAACTTTTCTTTAGGGAGAAAGATCAAAATAGGACAAAAGCATTGAAAATATATCAAAATAGGACTTCCATGTTTTTATTTCCGAAATAGGACTTACATTACCAAACATGGTCATATACATTACCAAAAAAGTATAGTACTCCGTAATTTGCACATGTACACTGCCACGCTAACATAGTGCAAAGTTACATTACCACAATGCAAAGTCCTATTTTGGAAAAAAAACATGAAAGTCCTATTTTGGTACTTTTCTCTATGTTTTAGTCCTATTTAGGGTGATTTCTATTTTGTTTATTTGTATTTTTCATTGGTTATTTGATAACATAAAATATGCTTGTCACATCTTATTTTGTAGAACTTTTGATGTGATTTTTTAACATGTAATTTTTATTTCTTATTGATGTACGAATTTGTAAATAAAATGATTTCAAACACTGTAGGATTATAAATCCCATTTTGTAATTAAAATAGGGATGGAGAAAGTAAATTTTAGTACTATTTAGTACAAATTTGACATAAATTCTATTGTGATACAGAAAGTGACGAGAGTCACATATTCTTTTTTTTACATGAAATGTAAAGTTTATTTTAAAACAAATGCCAAAAAATTATGAATTTAATTTGAGGACATGGATACGCCCGTCATACCTCTATCTCAGTTATTTGTCTAGTTTGATTTTTTGAGTCAAACTAGATAAATTTTGAATTTTAATTACTCTCAATTTGTATTGCATACATTAGTTCAATTAAATAAAAATTTGAGACTCCCCAACTGAATTGATATAATAAAAACATTTTTATACTAATATACATTAACTTTTTTTTAAATGAGGCACAAAATTTATTCTGTTTGACTTAAACAAATCAAACTGAACCAATAATATTCAGAGACGGAGTACGTACTACCTCCGTCCCTGAGTATTTGTCCAGTTTTGACTTTTTTCGGTCAACTGTTTTCAAACTTTGACGTATAATTAAATAAAATATATATTGTATATTAATTAGATAAAATAATATTTTGAAAATATTTGATATAATAAATCTAATAAAGCTATTTTTGTATCAATATCTAATATTATTTTTATTTACTTTGAAGTCAAAATTTATCATTTCTGACCGAAAAAATCAAAAGTAGACAAATACTTCGGGACGGAAGGAGTATTTAACAATTAAGATTCTACATGTTGTCTTTATATACTCCGTATATCTAACCTTGAATGCATATATATATATATATATATATATATATATATATATATATATATATATATATATATATATATGTATGTATGTATGTATGTATGTATGTATGTATGTATGTATGTATGTATGTATGTATGCACTAAAATCTTTGGGATATAGGAATGGTAAAGCAGACAATAATTGTACGGGTGAGGGATGGAATGAGCCTTGCCAAAGGTCCAAGAAATGAGAATGAAGAAAATGATGTTTTCTCGAGTTACAAGCAACAAAGAGACTTCATTCTCCAAGAAATCTCAAGAGGAGATTTGCCTTCTTCCAACATGACCATTTGTGTTGACGAACTCTATTGCTTCAGGTCTATTTTAACAAATTTTTCAGATTCACTTTGGAGTTTTTGCCTCCTCGAATTTTATAAGAACATCTCCAACCCACAATGGAAAAAGTGATAGTGTAAAAATTATTTTACACTATCAGTAGTGTTTTACACATTTAATTTTTTTATACCCACTCCAACCATATCTTCTATGGAGTATATAATACATTTTTATAATATTTTATTATTTTAAGTTATTTATTTATAATAAATATATTTAATTTTTGGTTTAATTATAATCACATTTATGATGTGCACAATCTAACCAATCTATTAATAATATTTTTAGTATTATTTAAAACTAAATATTGAAATATTTGTTTTAGCATTTGGTTTGCACCATCTTGTATATATACAAGTTGGGAATTGCTTTTTCCACTATAGTGTTTTTTAACATTTGATTTACACTATCCATTGGAGTATTAAAAAATGAATAGTATATTGCATATAGTATAAATTTAACCATATACACTATGGGTTGGAGATGCTCTAAGTACCGCTCCTGTAGTTTTCATAAAGTGCAATCTTTGCATATGAACTTTTCACAAAATGTTTATTTTTTCTTAACTTTCAAAAGTACATTATTTTCCTTTATTTTTCAAAAAAGTGTGTTTTTTCCTCTCGAATTTTCAAAAGTGCATCCTAAGTCCTATTTTTAATATAAAATGTGCATTGTTGAAATATTTAAAATACAAAAACTAAAATTCACAAATGAAAAATTTGTGGATTTATGTTTGCAGGTTACGATATTTGAGTGAAAGTATTTAAAAAAATACATGAAAACTAGGGTAAAATTCAAAAATTAAATTAAATATCTAAAAACTACATAAAAACAAAATAAGAAGTGACAATACTTATTTTATCTAATGAGGAATGCAAATTAAAAAAGAAATTTGTCAAAGTATGATATTATAAATTATACTCCCTCCGTTCCACAAAACTCTTCCCCTTTCGTTTTTTTTGAATTCCCTAAAACACTTCCACTTTCTATTAAAAAACCATTTTTACCCTTACTTTTTCATACCCTACCTATCACATCAAACTTTTTCCCTAATAACCAAACTATCACATCTTACTTTTACCCATCACATCAAGGGCAAAATTGGAAAGTCAACCAAAATTACATTTTTCTTATTTTTGCCAAAAGTCAAAAGTGGAAGGGTTTAAAGGAACGAAGGGAGTATATAATTAGTGAAGAAGATTTTTTTAAAGAAGAAAGTATTAAAATATGGTAATTTTATAATCCTGAGGAATTTTTGTCAAAGAGTCAAATTAACATCGGGTGCAATTGAAGGGGGTGGGGATGTGTTCGGATTGGGACGGGATTGGGGGTTTACCGGGGCTGGGGGGGTTAGTAGGAGTAGAATCCGTTAATTTTACGAATGGATACCGGAGCACCCTCGGTCATCCTATAACATTACCGAGTAACGTCATGGGAACTGTCCCGAATTAAAATATGGTAATTTTATAATATAAAGGACGCTACAAGAATATGATTTATTGCAACTGCTTTGTCCGTTGCAAACATTTAATAAGCCGTAGCAAACATTCTGCAACAGAAATACTGTTGTAGATATCTGTTGCAGATCTTTCCCGTAAAAAGGCGCCAACCTCCCGCCAAAATTGCAACGGATATTAGAAATTTCTGTTGCAAAAAAAACCGTTGCAAAAAACTTCCGTTGCAAACAAGTCCGTTGCGCAATAATTCCGTTGCAAATGAATAAGCCGTCGCAATTCTACAACAGAAAAAAGTCTGTTGCAATGTATTCGTTGCAATACTGATATTTTCTTGTAGTGGGAATTTTTGTCAAAGAGTCAATTTAACAAACAAAACGCGAGGTTTGTTTGCTAAGTACTCCCTCCGTCCTAAAATTAACTTCCCACTTTGACTTTTGCAGTTAAATTTTTTAAACTTTGACTGTATATTATAGAAAAAATATATTGAATTTTCAGATAAATTTATTATCATTAGATTAATTTTGAAACATAGTTTTAAACTATATTGTTTTTATAATAAATATTTATATAAAAATGGAGATATTGATAGTCAAAGTGTCGCGTGAAAAGTCAAATGTGAAGTTAATTTTTGGGATGGAGGGAGTACTACACATTAGCATTAGGGAAAAATATCAAAGTAGAACTAAAACATTGAAAATATACCAAAATAGAACTTCCATGTTTTTATTCTCAACCCTCTCTTTCACTTTTTTTGTTTTCACCAAAACACTTCCTTTTTTATTAAAATGGTCAATATATCCGGCCAAATAAATTCATGCCAATATACTCCATCCATTTTGTATTGATATAATAAGTGATTTAAGTGATTTGTTACTCTTTTCTTTTCAACGCTAATGATTTAATTGGAAAGTCAAATTTCAAAATTAAATCTTGCAAAAGTTAAAATAAGAACTGTTTTGAAATTTGAAGAACGAAGAGAGTAGTATTTTTGAAAATATGATATTTGTCTTTATTCAATTAATATTATTACTTAATTATAAAATATATTTGATTGACTACATATAGAGTAATTAATGAATTATTAACTAGTATCGCGCCCGTACGTTGCACGAGTCATATTTATGTTACTAAATTATACCCCGTATAAACATCATTTTTGAATGTTACAAATTAGTATATAATGGAATATAGAGATTTCATTATTTGAAGTTGCAAAAGTTAAATGATTCACAATATTTGAAATACTACTTTATAATTCACATTACTCGTATAAATTTATGAAAATATTATCTTTGTTGCACATTAGAATCTTCAAATCATTATGATTTATTACTCTTGAAATTACAATATACAATTGTCAATGACTAAAATATAAATAACATTAATCAAAACTCCGGTTAAAAAATTTGTTCAAAGTTAATTGTGTTGTTTTTTTCATTTTGAGGACAGATAGAAGTGCTTTAAGGAATGCACAAAAAATAAAACAGAAACATATTTTCGGGATGGAGGAAATATATAATATGCGTTTATTTCGGAATAGCGTTAGAGATTAGCGTTAGTGTTTTGGATAAACTTTAACGGTACAAATTGACTTTGAAAACGCTAAAACTAAACGCTAAGCGTTGATAATCTTTTCAAAGCGCTAACGCTAATCAATAACACTATTCCCAAACATGCCTTATATGAATTTAATATAATAAGAACTTAAAAGCTCAAAACCCATATCAAAGATGGTAATTACAAAAAGAGTGTGAGAATATCCATATTTATAGTAGGAAAAATTTATAAACATATGTCCCTTCACCTCAACTCTTTTCATTCTTATTAAAAAATATTAAAGTAAAAAAATAATGTATTTAAATAAAAATGGAAACATTTTTAATGCTCATATTAAAACAATATTATTTTAAATAAAAATGGAAACATGTTTCCCTTAACCATTAATTATTAATCAATAGAAACGAAAATTGGCGTAGCAACACTTACCATTAATTAAGAAACGTGTTCCTCTTTCCCCTCTACTATTTTGGTTATTATTAAAAAAAATGTTAACGAATTTAAATAAATATGGAAACTTTTTTAATGTTAATACGAAAACAGTAAATTTTTAATAAAAATGGAAACATATTCCCCTTTACCATTAATTATTAATTAATAGAATCCAAAATTATCATAGCACACTTACCATTAACTGCGTAGCATTTAAATAAAAATAGAAACATATTCACCTTTTTGAATTACTATTTTCGATGTAATTTAAACAAAACATATTAATGTATTTAAATAAAAATAAAAACATTTTTAGTGCTCATACAAAAACATAATTTTTTTTAATAAAAATAGAAACATATTCCCATTTACAACTTACCATTAATTGGAATAACATTTAAATAAAAATGGAAACATATTCCCCTTTCCACCTTATTATTTCATTGTTATTAAAAACATTTTGATGTATTTAAATGAAAATAGAAACATTTTTAATGCTCATATGAAATTCTCCATTGCCATAAATAATTAATTAATTACTACGTATTAGTTAGTACTTCTACGAAATTCTCCATTTTTAATGCTCATAAAAAGTTCCCCTTAATATATTCCATTAACCATTAATTATGGAGTATTGATTAATGCTTACTAAATTTAATGCATACACATACATATAATGAATAAAACGCACAATATTTCCATATATTACTCTTATATTTGGGCGGGAAAAAATTCACCTCTTTTTAAATATAGTATAGATGAATGATGAGCTAAGGCCGGATAAGATTTTTAAAAAAGTGATGCTCAATCAAAATTGAATGACCCTATCAAAAAAAATTTCGAATGAATATAATGTCAGTTATATACTCCATATATTCCCTACCAAATGAATATAAACTTGGAGCAATTTTTTCTTGTCTATGATGCCATGTGGTTTGCACTTGAAGGATTATGGTAGAAAGTGGAATATGCTTCATGACACTTTGTGATTTATCATACCCAAGAGATCTTGCATTCCTTTATCTCCAAGATTTACAACGCCAGTTTGACAAGTTGGACAAGAGATTTGTAGAGGGAATTTCCAATCCATATTGTAGCATTCCCAAACTTGGTATGGTACATACATATCAAAATGTTATTTAACCCGATAGATTCGATGATATTAAAGTTGACACCAGGACAAACAATGACGATAGAGACAGTCATGGTCTTGTCTGTAAGAAATTAATCATATCAAACTTGATGTAATTTGTGGTGTGACTATACCAAGAACAGAACACTGTTTTGACCATTTTCCTTGCAGGTGCAATCATTAGTAATGTTAGAGAGAAATATGTTGACCCAAGGACACAATCAAATATATCTAAGATGATGAAAAGTAAGATGAAAGGAAATTTAGATGCAGTTACATATGATTTATCAGAGATAATAGAGCGTAGGCAAAAACAAGGCAAGTTCGCGATTTAATATGTATACATTTGCTACGATATCGCTCTTGTTTCCAATTTCCATAACTATGTAAGAACTCATTTGGGTTTTGGTCATTCTTATCAGAAATGTGGGAGAAAATGAAAAGGGCTAACTTGAGTGAGTTTAAAATCTGGGGCTCTAAAAAGCTTGAGGTATGTGAGAATGTGATGCTGCAAATGTTCATAGTGTGGCAAATGTTCATAGATATGAAATTTGTTCTTCTTGTATGATCAGATCATTGCTATGAAAGGGATGCCTATTGCTACACTTATTGTTGTTGTCGTTCTTCTTCTCTGGAGCAGTTCTCTTTTCAAAGATGAATTTTGGTGACTGATCCTCAAGGTTCCTCCTTCCATGGCCCAAAATATAAAAAATGTATAAAAAACAGAACCTTTATGATTGAAGTTTCTTTAGAAAAAAGAGAAATAATAGCGGAATAATGTTTGTGCATTCAATTGTTCTTCCATGAGAATGAATATATTCTTCTTTGTTTAAATAAGGAGAACATGTTTCTTTCCAGCATTCTTCTTTGTTTAGCCTCGTGCTCCGCACGAGCTCGTATATATTCAGAATTGTTCATATTCTCTAATTTTAATTTTTTATTTTAATCTTCTAATAATTATATAATACTTCGTATGCGTTATATATATAAATCCTTCATATAAAGATGTATATAATGTTTGCAATCTTTTTTATTCTTATATAATAATTTTTTTGAGAAATACAAAAATGAAATAAATGGTGGATACTTTTAAAAATTATATTAATTTTTTTTAAATAATAAAATTATTGAACTTTTTTTTAAAAAAATTACTCGTATAATATAATTGTGCATATTTCAAAAACATATGTTATGATGAATTGATGATGAAATAAAACTTTTAAAATACTTAGAATTTGAAGGTTTTATAAAAAAAAATAATATTAATAATGATTATTTGGTGTTTGAAACTAAAGGATTTTATAAAAATTTAATAAAAATGATGGTTATGATAGAATTTAGGATGAGGTAGGGATCACTGGATTGGGTAATAAGACACCTGTGTTGAACCACATTAAAAGATTGAATCCAATCGATTAGTTAGTTTAACTCAAGAGCTTGTATACCGGATTATTTTATTCTTGGACTTCCGATGTGGGATGCACTCTAACACTCCCCCTCAAGTGGACAACCGGGCCATTTTGAATATAACCGGTTGACCACTTGCAAATGAACTCTCATTCCCTTGATTTTTTTGAGCGCCAACACCTAAAGGACCACGAGCCGCTGGGTATGGACTTCCAGACGAACAATCGTGTTAAACGGGCCACATGCCGTTGAATACGTACTCCATACGGACAACTGAGCTAAAGGCTAACGGGCCGCTAGGAATGAACGTTTAGACGGAAACCATGACAAACGAGGTGAGCCAAACCTGCTCTGATACCATGATAGAGTTTAGCATGGGGTAGTGAATAACTGGATTGAGCAATAAGACACTTGGGCTGAACCAAATTAAAATATTGAATCCAATCGATTAGTTAGTTTAACTCAAGAGCTTATATACCGGATTATTTTACTCTTGGACTTCCGATATGGGATGCACTCTAACAGGTTATTTAATGGTCAACACATACTCTCTATTATTACCATTTGTGTTAAGAAAATATCGGTAATGACTTTTTAAAATGTATAAGAAATGCATGAATGATTGTTCTACAAATAATATAAACTTTAATTGTAATGAATGGTCTTACTCCTTAAAAAGTTATTTGAAAAAGTAATAAAGTGAAATATAAAAAACAAAAAAAATTGCAAGATAAAAGATGTCATAATAAAAAAAATACTCCGTAGTATATTATTATATGGTGTGACATATAACAACACATGACATAAAAAATATATAGAATGATATTTGGTAGAAGAAAACTTATGTGGCCACACATGGCATGACACTTGGCAAATAATTCTACATGGCATGACCCATGGTGCAAAATAAATGGTGTATACTTTTAAAAATTATATTAAGTGTTGTTTTTAAATTAAAAAAATTTTGTACTTTGTTTTAAAAAAATTATAATATGATTATGCATATTTCAAAAATATTTGGTGTGATGATGAAATAACACTTAAAATACTTAGAACTTGAAGGTTTTACAAGATTTAAAATTAATAATGATTTTTTTGTTTGAAAGTGAAGGGTTTTATATAAAAATTTAATAAAAATGATGGTTATTTACTGGTTAACACATACTCTGTATTATTACCACACGTGCTAAGGAATTATCGATAATGACTTTTTTAAATGTATTAGAAATGCATGAATGATTGTTCTACAAATAATATAAACTTTAATGGTAATGAATGGTCTTACTCCTTAAAAAAGTTATATGAAAAAATAATAAACAAAAATATAAAAATAAAAAAATTGCAAGATAAAAGATGTCATAATAAAAAGATATATAATATATTATTACATGGCATGACATATAACAACACATGACATAAAAAAACACATGAAATGATATTTACTAGAAGAAAGCCTGTGTGGCCACACATGGCATGACAGTGGGCAAAAAATCGTACATGGCATGACACATGGCAACCATAATTAATTCGATCTACTTTATATATATACTAGCATTTGGACCCGTGCATCGCACGGAACCGAATGGAATTTTTTTGATTCTAAATTTTTTAATGCGATTTTTTTCATAACAAAGAAAATATAATTCTCAAATTATTTTCAATAGCATAGACAAAAATGCCAAAGTAAAATAAATAATATTTGAGGAATTGAATGTGTACTGAACAAAATTTGTTTTAATACCAAATTTTCTAAAAGACTTTAGGGCATATAATATTTTTGGTATGGGTGCAAGAGTTTTCATTGTCATTTGTAATTAATATTTTTAATATTGTCTTTGTTTTCACTCATGAAACAACTACTTAAAGTTGACTACGAGTTTACACCAACTTGGTTCAAAATAATTCAACAAATGACAATGTTTGGCCTTGACTTTTGTTGATAGTCATAGCAAAACATAAAACTTTTGGGAAATGTCTTTTCTAAACTTCATAGGTAGTCTTAGATCAGATGGTACCAAATTCATTTGGGATGTGTTAACTTTTCCGCAACTCGATTTTCCAAAACCACAATAGCATAGATAACATTTTTTCACAACTCTTCAATAACTATCTTGTACCATTACATGATCTAGATATTTGATCAATGTTTCTCTATAACATAATTGATACCTCCTTTTTAAAAATTATTTTGCGTTTTAGGATCCTCAACCATTTGATTTCATTCAAAAGCTCAACTGTTATCCAATGAGCATCTACATCTAAATCTGTTTGGTATGAAAAATTAGAACTGAAGTACACCATATCATATCTGAGAATGATGGATACAACAAATTCATTTACCATTTTTATAACCTCGAGCGTGGGTGCCCGTAGTGCCATATCATTAAAGAAGAAACTTTTCATATTCTCCAATAAGTTCATATACGTGAAGTCCACTATACTCTTGAGGGGATAACCCGTGTCTAGAATAAAGAATTCAGGAAGAATTCAACATCAGTTGTTCCATCAATAACTTATTCAAGCTTTTCATCTCCAACTTTGATTGTCCAATCAGAAAAAGGTAGTGCGTTCCTATATGTGCGAGAGGACGTTGATGAATGCAATTTCATATTCTTTGTCAACGTATAAACTTTACAATGCGACCATAATTTTGGAGAATTGATTGGAACACTAATAATTCCCTCTCCCAAAACTCCTGGTATAATTGGAAGAGTGACAAAGATTACCTTCGATTCCCTCTGAAGGGTGTATTTCTAGAGTTTTTATTAGACAGCCTCATTACATATCTCGTTGTGAGATCAAATGCCTCAAAACATATCTATTTATCATACACGTTTAATCCCATATGATCCCAGAAGAGTAAAGTTTGGGGAGGGTGTTTGTAAGCAGGCTTTACCCCTACTCAAAAGTAGAGGGGTTTGTAAGTTCGTGGGGGGTGCAGCGGATAACAACAAACACAAGCTATGCAAACAAAACAATCAACTATGTTGTAGAGGAGATGCTGCAGCACTGTCCAGTAACAGATGACGGGCAGTGTGCTATAACACTTCTCTGTCACAAGCACACACGCAAAATATGAAGTAAAAACAGTAAGCAAGACACCAGGATTGTTCACGCAGTTCGGAGCAAATTCTCCTACGTCTGCAAGGCCCACGTCCGTGTAATAGCCCTTCCACTAAATCACCGTAAGAATTACACAATCAATCACAACAGAACCTTCTAATGTATTGATTTGTCTACTTACGAATGACTTGACGACAAACTCGGTTTGCGTCTATCTCCACGGCTAGTTACACCTTCTCAAAGATCTTCTTCAAGGACGTAGATTCCAATACACCTTCAA